GAGACCAGGAGGACAAGTTAGAGACCACGAGGACAAGTTAGAGACCACGAGGACAAGTTAGAGACCAGGAGGACAAGTTAGAGACCAGGAGGACAAGTTAGAGATCAGGAGGACAAGTTAGAGACCAGGAGGACAAGTTAGAGACCAGAGGACAAGTTAGAGACCAGGAAACAAGTTAGAGACCAGAGGACAAGTTAGAGACCAGGAGGACAAGTTAGAGACCAGGAGGACAAGTTAGAGACCAGGAGGACAAGTTAGAGACCAGGAGGACAAGTTAGAGACCAGGAGGACAAGTTAGAGACCACGAGAACAAGTTAGAGACCAGGAGGACAAGTTAGAGACCAGGAGGAAAGTTTAGAGACCAGGAGGACAAGTTAGAGACCAGGAGGACAAGTTAGAGAACCAAGTGAAAACAATTAGAGACCAGGAGGACAAGTTAGAGACCAGGAGGACAAGTATAGAGACCAGGAGGACAAGTTAGGGACCAGGAGGATAAGTTAGAGATCAGGAGGACAAGTTAGGGACCAGGAGGACAAGTTAGAGACCAGGAGGACAAGTTTAGAGACCAGAAGGACAAGTCAGAGACCAGGAGGACAAGTTAGAGACCAGAGGACAAGTTAGAGACCAGAGGACAAGTTAGAGACCAGGAGGACAAGTTAGAGACCAGGAGGACAAGTTAGAGACCAGGAGGACAAGTTAGAGACCAGGAGGACAAGTTAGAGACCAGGAGGACAAGTTAGAGACCAGGAGGACAAGTTAGAGACCAGGAGGACAAGTTAGAGACCAGGAGGACAAGTTAGAGACCAAAGAGGACAAGTTAGAGACCAGGAGGACAAGTTAGAGACCAGGAGGACAAGTTAGAGACCAGGAGGACAAGTTAGAGACCAGGAGGACAAGTTAGAGACCAGGAGGACAAGTTAGAGACCAGGAGGACAAGTTAGAGACCAGGAGGACAAGTTAGAAAGGGGCAAGAAGAACAAAATTAGAGACCAGGAGGACAAGTTAGAGACCAGGAGGACAAGTTAGAGACCAGGAGGACAAGTTAGAGACCAGGAGGACAAGTTAGAGACCAGGAGGACAAGTTAGAGACCAGGAGGACAAGTTAGAGACCAGGAAAACAAGTTAGAGACCAGGAGGACAAGTTAGAGACCAGGAGGACAAGTTAGAGACCAGGAGGACAAGTTAGAGACAAAGAGGACAAGTTCGAGGACCAGGAGGACAAGTTAGAGGACCAGGAGGACAAGTTAGAGACCACGAGGACAAGTTAGAGACCAGGAGGACAAGTTAGAGACCAGGAGGACAAGTTAGAGACCAGGAGGACAAGTTAGAGACCAGGAGGACAAGTTAGAGACCAGGAGGACAAGTTAGAGACCAGGAGGACAAGTTAGAGACCACGAGGACAAGTTAGAGACCACGAGGACAAGTTAGAGACCAGGAGGACAAGTTAGAGACCAGGAGGACAAGTTAGAGAACCAGGAGGAAAGTTAGAGACCAGGAGGACAAGTTAGAGACCACGAGGACAAGTTAGAGACCAGGAGGACAAGTTAGAGACCACGAGGACAAGTTAGAGACCAGGAGGACAAGTTAGAGACCAGGAGGACAAGTTAGAGACCAGGAGGACAAGTTAGAGACCAGGAGGACAAGTTAGAGACCAGGAGGAAAAGTTAGAGACCAGGAGGACAAGTTAGAGACAAGGAGGACAAGTTAGAGACCAGGAAAACAATTTAGAGACCAGGAGGACAAGTTAGAGACCAGGAGGACAAGTAAGAGACCAGGAGGACAAGTTAGAGACCAGGAGGACAAGTCAGAGACCAGGAGGACAAGTTAGAGACCAGGAGGACAAGTTAGAGACCAGGAGGACAAGTCAGAGACCAGGAGGACTAGTTTGGGGACCAGGAGGACAAGTTGGAGACCAGGAGGACAAGTTAGAGACCAGGAGGACAAGTTAGAGACCAGGAGGACAAGTTCAGAGACCAGGAGGACAAGTTGACCAGAGACCAAGGAGACGAACAAGTAGAGACCAGGAAGGACAAGTTAGAGACCAGGAGGACAAGTCAGAGACCAGGAGGACAAGTTAGAGACCAGGAGGACTAGTTCAGAGACCAGGAGACAAGTTAGAGACCAGGAGGACAAGTTAGAGACCAGAGGACAAGTTAGAGACCAGAGGACAAGTTAGAGACCAGGAGGACAAGTTAGAGACCAGGAGGACAAGTTAAGACCAGGAGGACAAGTTAGAGACCAGGAGGACAAGTTAGAGACCAGGAGGACAAGTCAGAGACCAGGAGGACAAGTTAGAGACCAGGAAGACAAGTCAGAGACCAGGATGACAAGTTAGAGACCAGGAGGACAAGTTAGAGACCAGGAGGACAAGTCAGAGACCAGGAGGACAAGTCAGCGACCAGCAGGACAACCCAACAACGAGTAGCACAGCCCTAAAGACTTAAGTTCAAAGTAGTGCTTACCACTTAACTGGAGACTCGGGTACGAGATGGGTACTTACCACTTGACTTGAGGAGCAGGCTCGCCCTCCACCTCCACCTGGTAGTCGAGGTCCTTGCCGATGATACAGGCTACCTCCTTCTTCATCTTCTTAATCTTAGGCCCAGCTGTGAAGAAAAAGAAGAAAGATGCAGTGAATTTCCGGTGAAGAATCTCCTGGCGTCTTCACACAATCATCTTAGCTAACAAACCAAATATAAAGCCCATTTATAGCTTTAGCTGTGATAAAATCCTTTACTACCACTACTGCTAACAAGGCATCGCTGCTCTAACGGCCCTCCTGATTGGTTGGTTGGTTAATGGGGTTTGAAGCCTATCGGCGGTGTTAGGGTCCCTCTTGACGTGTTACGGTCATTTAGGTACCTAAATGACCATATCAAGTCAAAAGGGACCGAGGTACGCTCTCAGTGTATATAGTCTGAGAGATATGCATGTCTAAGTATATATACACTGAGAGATATGCATGTCTCAGTGAATATACACTAAACATACCTCTCGTGTATATACAGCATACATATCTAAGCGTATATACACTAAGAAGCACACACCCGTGTATAAACACTGAGATATACACCTGCTAGCGTGTATATACTGTGAAACATACCCCTCTCAATGTACATATATCCAGAAGAGAGCCTGTCCCGCTCTACCTCCTCACTCACCATTTAAATAACCCTCACTCCCTTGTGAAGACCTTTTAAATCGAATATATCACAATGAATCTCCCACAATTACGTCTTGAAACAAAATGTCCAAATTTCGTGGCCTTTTTTCCTTTTTAAGAAAAATATCAAGAGACCTTCCGAACCTTGAAACTCCCCTGGGGTACTTACCCTTGATGGCCAGGTTGGCCGAGCACTGAGCCTCGCCCAGCTCGTTCTTGGCCACAACACGGTAGAGGCCAGCATCCTTCTCTTCAACGTTCTTAATGACGAGTGTTACCGACTCTTCGTCCTCCCAGAGGAACTTGAAGCGTCCTCCAGATTTGACGTCCAGCCCGTTCTTCGTCCTGAGAGAGAGAGAGAGATAGAGAGAGAGAGAGAGAGAGATTATTATTACACTTGCTGGAATATTAGTGATTAATAAGACACTGAACACTAGAAAGTGTTTATGACACTCTCAATTATTCGACATAAATAAAAATGGTTGTAATCATAAAGCCTCGGTCAGATGACCAAAAGCTCCAGCTGTGGGTCATCATATGACTAACATCCACGTCGGGAAACACTTGTCCTGTTTCCTGACAAACCAGACCTAACCTAAATCAATACTAAACATGTAAAGTAAAAGGACACAAGTGCAACTAATGTGACATTTATTGTGGCAACGTTTCGCTCTCCAGGAGCTTTATCAAGCCATTACAAACAATACATGGACACAGAGGGTATATAAAGGCTCAGAGTGAGGTGCAATACTAGTGAGGTACCATTTCGATGTTCACTAGTGGTGTGGTAGTAGTAGTAGTAGTAGTAGTAGTAGTAGTAGTAGTAGTAGTAGTAGTAGTAGTAGTGGTAGTGACAAAAGTAATACAATATGGTAGAGCAATTAATTCGTACATGAGTAAAAGGATATAAAAGCTATTACTTGGGTAACATAAAAATAGGTTGGACAAATAGAGACTGGAAAGAGGCAGCTTGTTTCAGTGTTTACTCTCTGTGCTTTGTGTAGTATAACAGGAGAGACTATGTGATGGCAGGGTTTACTGTTTTCAGGAGGATTCTTGCTAAGACTTCGGAGATGGTGAAGCTGCCGTTGTTTTGTTTAATTGTATTCGAAACAGCGATCAGTGCTGATTCGAGGCACTTGCGACTGCACCTCACTCTGAGCCTTTATATACCCTCTGTGTCCATGTATTGTTTGTAATGGTTTGATAAAGCTCCTGGAGAGCGAAACGTTGCCACAATAAATGTCACATTAGTTGCACTTGTGTCCTTTTACTTTACATATTGTCGGTAATTCTTCCAACTTTATTACAATACTAAACATGTATAATACCTGTGTATCTTCATACATCGAGACGTTTTCCAAACCAATGTTTTTTCAATCAATTACACAGAATAAATTCTGAAAACAGTGAGGCAGGGCAGGAACATAATAATTATTACTATTATTATTATTATCTTATCTAAGCTACCCCGTCACCTCACGTTTACTTTCCCTAAGATTATTTCAATGTTTAGCATTGAGAAATTAACATAAAGCCCCTTCAACTCAGAGACCCTTCTCAGACGAAGGTGTACATGGCTATCAGCTGAGAAGAGCTATCTACTTCTATCTAAATTAAGGACTATCCTGTATTTTTTATATGAGGAGAACCTTAAGGTTACCGATTGAGGACTATCTACACCTATTCAAGGACTATCTACCCCTATTCAAGGACTATCTACTATTCTACATGCGTCTGAGGCAGGGATGGTCAATCTGAACGAGGTTCCACTTACCACTGGAGTTCTGGCTTGGGAAATCCTCCGACCTTACACTCCAGCATGGCAGATCCTCCTTGGGCCACCTGAGTATCACTCAGCGATTCCTTGATGCTGGGAGGTTCCGGGTCACGAAGTAAGCGGTTCACAGAACCTGCGCGGGGACACACGCAAGTATATGTTAGTGACCAGGTTAGTGAAGAGATTAAGTGTATAAATTAGCAAGTCTTTCTTGTTATGCAGTTGAATTTGCAGGCTAAGTGTTGGTCCACTGAAAACTCTGGTCCACTGAAAACTCTGGTCCACTGAAAACTCTGGTCCACTGAAAACTCTGGTCCACTGAAAACCCTGGTCTACTGAAAACTCTGGTCCACTGAAAACTCTGGTCCACTGAAAACTCTGGTCCACTGAAAACCCTGGTCCACTGAAAACTCTGGTCCACTGAAAACCTGGTCCACTGAAAACCCTGGTCCACTGAAAACTCTGGCGGACTGAAAACCCTGGTCCACTGAAAACCCTGGTCCACTGAAAACCATGGTCCTCTGGAAACCCTGGTCCACCTTTTACCTCACAAGGCCATTCACCTCTTACAAGATTATCTTAAGACTTTACCAAGACTGAGAGCCTCTCCTTCGAGGCTAAAGGAGGTCCCAGGCGGCGTCTTAAGACGGCAAGGGGACCATCCATCTTGTTCCAGGTAAAAACCAGGGAAATATTCCTGACGACAGGTGAGGCATCAATAAATAATGTGTGTACACACACACACACACACACACACACACACACACACACACACATACACACACACACACACATAACACACACACACACAACACACACACACACACACACACACACACACACACACACACACACACACACACACACACGGAGCGGGAAGAGTGACCGGGTAGCGGCCAGGTAAAGAGGCGGGGCCAGGAGCTGTGAATCGACCCCCGCAACCACAACTAGGTGAGTACAACTAGGTGAGTACACGCACACACACATGATGCTGTCTCTCCAACACATCTCTGAGTACACACAGGATGCCCTCTCTCCAACACATCTCTGATTACACACAAGATGCCCTCTCTCAAGCACATCTTTGAGTACGCACAAGATGCCCTCTCTCAAGCATATCTCTGAGTACGCACAAGATGCCCTCTGTCAAGCACATCTCTGAGTACACACAAGATGCCCTCTCTCAAGCACATCTCTGAGTACACACAAGATGCCCTCTCTCAAGCACATCTCTGAGTACACACAAGATGCCCTCTCTCCAACACATCTCTGAGTACACACACACAGCATCCCTCCCACACACACATCTCTGTGGCTACACACTAACCTTCCACGGTAAGTTCAGCAGAGCAGGAGATCTTGCCACAGGAAGTGGATGCTACACAGGTGTAGAGACCAGCATCCTCAGGTGTAACATTTTGGAAGACTAAGGCCAGAGTGTCCTCATCATCCTGTGGGGTAAGTAACCACACTCTTAAGTCATAACTTTACTTAAGAAAAGTGAAGGAAGAGGATGTCAGGCGAGAGTGTGATAAAAATGTGAGAGAGGCAGAGGGCAAGGTGACCTAAAGAAGAAAGCACACTCACCAATATTCACTCAATCGCCGATTTTCCAAGAGTTTGTTGACATCACAGTCACATTGCTGCCTGCACTCTAAAGGAGGGTCTTATAATTTTTGCTGTTTGGCAAGACAGTAATAGTGGGAATGATGGTAAAAGTGTTTCTTTTTCGGGTTACCCTGCCTTGGTGGGAGACGGCCAGCGATACAAGATGCAAAACAACCACGGGGGGAGTTAAATGATAGCTCTAGGCCTTTCGTGTTGTAATCTAAACATCATCAGGAGCTTGCAATGTTGAAGAAATGGTCCAAGGAAATACGATCACAGAAAATGCCTTTGCTCCAGCAAAGGAACTTTCTGTGATCGTATTACGTAGCACGTGATCGTATTACGTAGCACGTGATCGTATTACGTAGCATTGATCGTATTACGTAGCACGTGATCGTATTACGTAGCACGTGATTGTATTAAGTGGCACTGACCTTAAACATGACGTTGAACCTCTCGTAGGGATCGAACTCCTGCCCGTCTCTGAACCACTTAAATTCTGCTTTCTCTCCCTTAGCCAGGAGAGACCCTTTGCCACTTAAGCTCTCGTACACGAGGCCCTCGTCTGTAGGGAAGAAAGTGGTTAGGTGAGGTGGTGAGCATGGGTAGTGATAGGTGGTAGGATCAGCACTGTGCTGCTGTTTGCTATGCATAGTTACACATTGGGAACAAAAGCTAGCTATATTTCCCCTTGTTGACATACATCAGATGAGAGACTTTAACAGGGCAACGAGGCTATCTATCTCCCCCGTCCAGTATTCCATTCAAAAGCTCCATCAACTACGACAGCCTCGAAGCCTTCCTTCCAGCAGAGCTGGAGTTATTATCATTTGGGAATTTCAAACTGAACATGACCTACCCCGTCATACACAGAAAAAAAGGAGTATATATATATATATATATATATATATATATATATAATATATATATATATATATATATATATATA